AAAATTAATATATTTAAATAATTTGTAATTAAAAACTAAAATTTATTTAAGCTTACATATTCATACTCTTAGCACTACAACCACGTATACGAATATTTTGTACTTTAGGATTAAACCTCATGTGAGATTGATCGTAAACAAATGAATTTGAGGATGTTCCAATAGCCAGATGTAATATGTCCTAGAAAATATAAATTGTATTTATATATTAATAATTAAATGCTTAATGCTAATTAAAAATCAAAAAATACATATTTTTTTTTTTACCTGTATCATAACCTCATGCGGAACAATAAAATCTAAACTACCATATGTAAATTGATGATGAAAATGTTCATGGTAAACGGCTTCGTATGTTGATATATTTGATTCTGATAGATACGGAGAAATATTATTTTGTTGTAAATTGGTTTTTCCAATTGTTTCCCATGATAGCATTTGCGCCTAATTGTTCGGTCAAGAATTTAATTATAAAAATTTTAAAAATATTTATGTATAAATTTTTTATTTACCTGCTTTGTATCATCCTTAGATATTTTTTCCCAAACCGAAGGTTCTTCTTCATAATCCATATAATCCATATTGTTTTTCTAACAACGAAATTCAGCGTAAAATCTACCTGAACGCGTCAGTCAATATAGTTTTATATTAATATATATGTTACACGAAGTAGATCTTTCTAGTGTTGGTCGATGAGGTCAGTCTTATTAAATGCTACCGAAATCTTTTAGTATGATTTTTTCTATATTAAAGGGTCATAAAGTCATTTTGACCTTCGTTGTGATCAATAACCTACGACAGGCCATAAATATCATATCATATATAGATAATTTAAGATCATTGACCGATACTGGATCTTTCTGAGTGCACTCTCTAGAGACGTAGAAAAAAAAACAAAGTAGAATGTGCACTTAAAAGGGTGCGCATTTGTGTGCATTTATAAAGATCAAAATATATAAAGCTCTTCAGAGAATGTGATTACAAATTTAATTCATATTATCTTTTTGTTTTAATTAGAGCTTGCTTTTAAAATAATGGATCGGTTCAACTTATGAGTAACTATGTTTCTTAGAGCCAAAGAGTTGGCTTGTCTTGGTCAGCATTAACATGAACGAATTGAGCCTGCAAATTTGCATCACTAACTAAGAGGTTATGGCTATACTTGTAGAGAAAACTCTAGACTTAATTAGAATTGGGATGACTTTATTATATCTGATTTGGTTTTATAATTTTGTCGGCTGAAAATTTTGAATGACCTTAGCAATCTGTTTTTTCTTTTTTTTTTTTTTACAAAAAAAAATTCGCGCAAAACTTTTATATAGTAATAGATATATTTTCTATTAAATTGATTCGGTCAGGTTATGAAAGTCAAGAAATTGATTTGTGTGATTTAGCATTAGGGTTGACTTCAGTTCCGGTTTATAAATAAAACAATCTTTAAAATTACTAAGCTTGTATGATAGGCCATCCTTTTTGGTTAGTTTAATAAAATCAAGTAATGTCATTTTTTTCTTGCAAATAATTCTACTATAAAATAAATATATTATTAATTGATTTTAAAATTTTAGTAAAGTTTAGTTATAGAATCATTATGTTACGTAATATTTGAATGAAAAATTTTAATAAAGTATAAGCACGTAAGCACAACTTTTTTATTTTACGACGTTTAATCAAATAAAATTGTATTGATAATATGGATAGACAGAAAGCAGAAGAACATTGGATTGGGGATTCTTCATTCTCTGTAAGATTTTATTAAAATAATGGTTATACAGATTTCAATTAATCACTAATATTTAATATCGATTTTCTTTAAAGAATTTCAATAATATTCCATTAGAAATTTTTATCGCCACTGGATTTAATTGAACTAAGTTTGGTGTGCAAATCTTTTTGGAGCTGCCTTTCTTCACGCACATCCAGCACGACCCAAATGATTTGGCGCTTGTCACGTGAGCAGTTTCTATGCCATCCTAAATTACCGCCACCTGCAGATATGTGCGAGCAAGATTATATTAGCCTTGTTCTCTACAATAAGTGCCATTTTTGTAAGAATGTTTATTCGCTAACTGTCTGGGTCTTCTGCAGACGATTTTGCAAACTATGTTTGAAAGAAAGAACAATTTGGTAATGTTTGCTTGCCACATCGATATTTCCTTCAATGTATTGGATGTTAACAAAGATTAATATATCAATAGCTATAACAATTTCAATGAAGCATGGAAAAAGATTCCATTAAAAGCAATTCGTGGACTTAGATATATCAAGATGTACAGCGAGATTCCTTATACTGAAAAGTATGAATTACATCGATACTACCTGATCGAAGACATCAAAACTCTTTATGATGAATTCATAGTTCTTGCTCTCCAAAATAAAGACAATGATTTTATTGCATCATGGGAATTGGATAAACACATGAAAGGTAATATTTATATGAAAGAAATCAGCAAATATTCAAAAGAGCAATTATCGGTCCAATCAACTATTTTCCGTAATAATATGATCAAATTGGGAAAGATCCTGGATTCTTTGATGGAAGAAGGATCAATTGATGACAATCGCCCAAAGTATGAGCTGGATGTTTTATATGATTGTCTTGATGCAAAAAACGCGTTTTCAACCACTGATCAGTTGCTTCTGAATGAGAAAGAATTCAAAATTATGAGAGAATCTTTAGTTGCAATGTATCCAGAAATCAAGAAAAGGCATAATAAGAAAAAGCGTAGTCAGGAAATAATTAGTGATATTAGTGATATTAATGATATTATTGAATAATATGTAAGATAATATTTGTGCTCTTATGTATTACAATAGCGTCAGAAAATAAAATTTATGAAATTGCAGCAAACATAATTCTTTTATAAAATATACGTTTGATTATAGTTAATACCATCTAATTATACACATAAAAATTTGCTTTATATATTTGGGTGATATAGAACATGTTCTTATGTGGGTTCTGCGAAATTCCTTTAAATTCTTAAAAATTGCCACTTAAAAAGTAATTATTTACAAAGTAACAATTCTCGCTATGTTGCGATTTTCCAATATAACACCTATTAATGTATTAGATATTGTATTTGCTGACCATGAATTAATAAATTTTAAATTAAATGCTTATTTCAATATTCAAAGTTATCTTAAAATTTACAAGCTACCGTATTTGCGTGCATGGGCGTTATTTTGAATATCTGCGTCCCAAAATAACGCGCCTCTATATACAATATTGCCTTGAACCTAATTGGAATGCATATGTAACTAGCACTATATTGTTATACCGAATCCGTTACGTTCGGTATTAAAATGCGCAGATGCACGTTATTACGCGCAAATACGGTAGTAGAATTTAAAAGAGATCTTAAACATTGAAATTGACGGGCTATTATTGAGAAACCTTTAAAATTCAAACTTTTTTTTTTTAATATTAGAATTTAATCTTTGAAAAATACCTATTTTTTACTTTTATATTACACCCAATCTTAAAAATTTTGTAATTATAAGATAAATATATTACAAGTATATATAAAAATTCTATGAGCTATTTGGACGAGCCATCATTTCTTTCTAATTAGTAATAATATATTAGAGATAGGGTGGCAGCTTAAATTTCGAAATTAAAAAGATTGCAATAGTGAAAATTTTTTCTTGATAAATTTCTATCAAATTGCTTTAGAAAATAAATTAGACCAAAATATAACAAATTCGACAAGAATTAGTGAAAAATTTTTTTAGTTAAAATTTTTCTTAAATAATTTTATGCCTATATGGACAATTTGACTTAAATTGTGAGTGTTATTAGTTCAATGAAGTATTAGTTCAATGAAGCCTAACATAGATTAACGAACTCAAAGTATAACATGAAATAGCGAAAAAAAATTTTTACTTCTATACGTCTTAATCTTAATCCCCGTAATATTCTTTTGCTCCCACATAACTTTTCAAGTCGCCCACATCAATTCTCCCACTAACTTGTACAGCATAAAATTTAAAATGTTTTCCTTTAATAACCCAAGCCAAAAATTTTCCTGTAGCATCTT